AGTTTTTAGTCTTTAGTGTGAATGTCTATTAATTTCTGGTCACTATTAAAATTTATTGAAAAACCTACCTCATAACTATTTTAAATTAATCAATTAAAAGTTAACACTAAGGACTTAGGTAAAAGTGTAACATCTAGAAATCTAAGGGCCAAATAGAGATTGAACTCGAAAAACTCAAGGGTTTTCCATCTTTTGAAACCTAGTTTGGGTTTTGAAATGACATTTTTGACGTTACAATTGATTTAAAATATTTTTGTTTAATAAATCTTTAAAAAAGTAGGTCTACCTATTCTGTACTCTTTCCTTTCTACTATTTTAAGATATGAAATATAAGAAATTTAGGAAAAATCGTTTGATATTTTGCATTAACAAAAGTAGTTTGATGGGATTTTCCTTTCATGCTTCTCCATACAAATTTGATTCCCTTGAAATGCTTTTTCCCCTTTCAAGATATAATTATTTTGACTTGAGAGATCTTGCTCATTTCTCTTTTCCTTTTACTTTTCTTGATGGGATGGTAATTAAATTATTGTTTGTTTTTATCTGTGCATATGATCTTGTTAGATTCTTAAAACATATGACTTTTGAATAGTTCTTCGAGGCACTAGAACGTTTGATCATTACTTATACAGTGTAGAAGATGATATATAATCCCAATTGAAATAGTCTATTGTAGATTTGTATTTTACCTTCAAATTTTACAGGTTCAACAAACTCAAGATTAAGATCTCCGAACATAATAAACTCTCGAAAACTAAACTGACCTATGTACCTCATACTTATTTTTACATATTTTCTTGGTCACTAAGAAACAACATGATAAGTCGATTAGAAAAAGATGAGTGGAAATTTTGCGAAGTTGTCAACTTCAAACTTTTACTACACTTGAAATCTTAATATCTTAAATTTTCTTTTCAAGTCCAACCATAACGGGTGGGTAGATCTAGCTATTGTTAGACGAACACGACTCTCCACAATGGTACGATATTGTCCACTTTGAGCATAAGTTTTCATAGCTTTGCTTTGGGCTACCCAAAAGGCTTCACACCAATGGAGAGTGTATTCTTAGATTATAAACCCATGATCATTCCCTAAATTAATCAATGTGGGACACTTTCATCTAACAACTATCAACTTTTGAAATAATAATTAATCGGTGTTTTATCTGTTAAATTATACTTATGTTGACAAATTATAGAGTTAAAAGAGGTAATCCCTCGCACTCAGGGTAACTGCAAACTTTTGCAGGGTAACTGCAAACTTTTGCAGTCTTTATTAAAATCGGATTGAGGATCGATTTGGGTTTAGTAGGTGTAGAAGTGATGACTAAGAGGTGAATTGAAAACCAGTGGTGGGTGAACCCCACAAAGGCCTTATCTCGTCTTGGTTTATCCTCCAAGAAGCAAAGCCAGCTTCTTCTTCTCTCTCGTATTGCTTTTTTAATAGACCAAAAAAAAAAAGAAAAAAAAAAAAAAAAGAATATGCTTACCCAACGGTTCATATTTAAATTTGTACAAAAAGCTTGCTTTTGTTGCCCTTTTTCGAACCCATTTTCTTGCGGCTCGCCGTGGTGGGTGGACTTGGTGGATTTTATCTATACACATTTACTTAAACAAATATCTATATTCATAAAAATAAAAAAAAAATTATAATATCATTAAATAAATTGTAAAATTCTAATTTCCTATTTATCATCTTATTTGACTAATTTTGAATAAATAAAAATAGTCTATTCTTTTATAAATTTAATATTGTGAAGTTATTATATAATTACTTAAATATTGATTCTATATTAATTGAAAATCTGATGAGATGAAAAAGGACCCAAAACTCATTTAATACTATATTAAATATAAAACTTAAATGTCGACGTGGATTAATAATAATCTTATGTTTGCAAATAATCTCTTTTTTTAATTTAATTTATTTATGGCGTGTATTTTTTTTATTCACTTTTTTATATTAGTTATATTGTTTTTAAAAAATAAAAAAAGATTTTTTTTATTTATGATTATTCTAATTTTATTTTTTTAAAAAGAGAATATAAATGTAAGCATTATAATGTCATTTCAATAAATAAAAAAGAAATAGAAAAAAGGAGACAACAGGAAAATACGCAAAAAAAATTTAAAAATTTAAAAAATTGAATAGCCAACCATAGAATGCCACGTATTGCATTTACTCACTCACTCTCATAGCCACCCCATGATTGTCATCGCCGCATTATATATAGACAGAACCAAAATCTTCACCGCACCACTCGTCTTTGATACTGTGGTTTATTTCGGTGGGTTTTGTTCTTTTCCCCCTTTTTCTTCTCAACATTGTACGGATTTGATGCCGACGACGGAGGCCGGAGACGTCGAGATGGATGCCGCCGGCGTCACCAAGGAGATCATGTTGTTTGGAGTGAGAGTCGTGGTGGATCCGATGAGGAAGAGCGTCAGTATGAACAACCTCTCTCAGTATGAGCATCCTTCTGAGGCCTCCAATGAAGACAACGGCCGCAACACTAAGAGTAATGTCTCTGCAGCTGCTGGTTACGCTTCTGCGGACGATGCCGTTCCTAATTCCGGTGGGATTCGCGAGCGCGAACGCAAGCGAGGTTAGATTCTCTGTTTTTCTTGTCTTTTCTTTACTCTGTATAATCGTGATATCGGTATGGCGATGGTGCTTATCGAGTGATTTTGAGATACGATTTATAGAGAGAAGCATGCATCTGAGTAGTTCTGTAAATGACTGACATTCTCTCGGATTGATTTTTTTGGGTAATTTTGATGATCGGTGGGTTTTCACTTAAAATATTGGGAATTTGTACTTTGTTTATCTTGGAAGCTTGTAGATTAGTTCAATTTATTCCGAATTTGGAGTTGTTAATTTTGGGGATGTCTGTTGGTGGATGATTTTCAGGAGTACCGTGGACGGAGGAAGAACACAAACTTTTCTTGCAGGGATTGCAGAAAGTGGGGAAAGGAGACTGGAGAGGAATCTCGAGGAATTTTGTTAAGACTCGAACCCCAACTCAGGTTGCTAGCCACGCGCAGAAATACTTCCTGCGCCGAAGCAACCTCAATCGTCGCCGCCGTAGATCCAGCCTCTTCGATATCACCACGGATTCGGTAACTGTCATCTTTACTAAATTTATAGCTTATGTTTGGTTGGATGGAATGGATTGGCTTTCAAGTATTGTGCATTCTTTTGTTTGATACCATAAGGTTCCGAATTTTGATTCTAAGTTGTAATAGTGGATTCATTTGAGTAGGCTAACTAGGATTTTAGCCAACTGGTTGATGAGCTTACTTATCTGGTGTTAGATAGTGAAATTTCACGACCTATCCCCTTTCTGAGTTTGCTTCTTCTCTGTTCTAGCCTGTTCTAACCCACCTTCAAAACAGAAAACCTCCAATTTCTTGCTGGAAAGGGATAGGCAAAACCCAACAAGACGATATGATGAATAGTTTTGGGGATCTAATAATAGAATACTTCAATAATTGGAAGCCGGAATCTATCTTTACTTATAATTCCTTTTCTGGGTTCATTAGGTAAAGGTGGCTGCTGAGGAAGAGCAAATTCAACTTCAAGACAATTCCTCCCAATTCCAATACTTGTTGCCACCTCCACCTCCACCACCTGAAACTGGCAACGTAAATGGATATCATCCTGTGATGCCAACTTTTCCTTTGCCTGTTTGCCCTGCAATTTTACCTGTACCAATTCCTATGGACAACCTCCCACTCAGGCATGATAACCTGGAGAATGATACATCATCGACTGCTGAAATTATGCCGCTCAATCCAACCACACCTGAGCTTAACTTGAATTCTGGAGCTCTTTCTCTTAACCTCGACTCGGCCACTTCATTGACGAAACACCCTGCTTTCCAAGGAATTTCAAGTATGAGCAGCGGGGATAACATTATCAGTGTTGCTTAGAATCACTTTGTTGGCTTTAATGGTATGTTGTATTGATGAGGAAGGCAAAGCGATAGGCGACTAACTAAAGTTGTTTGTTGTAGTTGTACATCCCCACCTTTGGATTCTTCATTTGACGTTTGTTTGTATTACTGAACCTAACAAGCAGTCTCAGCTCACTGCTGCTTAATGATAAGACTAAGAATAAGACTAAGACTAAGACTAAGACTAAGACTAAGACGACTCGGTTTCTTCGGTATCTATGTATGTGTAGGCTTCCTGTATTTTGGATTTGAGTAAGAGAAAGATATGAAGTTTCCTCATATTTCTGTCCATGTTTGATTAGATTAGATTGGTGGCTGTTGTCTTGTGCTTGAAGATAGCATTTGATCCTCTATTGTGGTTGAAGGGGGACTGTAAGGGGTTGGAGAAAATGAGTTCCAGGCGGATTGGGTCGGGTCCACTTCAAGATCCGGATTACATTATTTCCATCCATTATGACTTCTTTTTTCAAACGAATATATCTATCTATTCTATTTTAACTTTAACTTTGGCACGTGTTTATTTATTTTTATTTTTTTCTTTCATAAAATAGATACCATTTTACATGATAATAATAAATATCGGATCTAATTCTCATGCGCATTAATTTAAAGACTTTTTATAGATCGATTAATTAAGATTGATAGTGTACGTTTCTTGAATTGCTATCTAGCTGTTTTGATACTAAAGATTCTCAACGAAAAAGGATACCATTGTCATTGTTGTTGGTTCAGACAAGTTCTTAAAAGTCTAGTATCTCTTTTGGGATTTTATGTTCTTTAGTTTAATAGAGATGCATATGATAGATCATCAAGGTGATATATATTAACAAAGATTTAAATGAATACATGGATATTATAACCGTTTGATTTAAATGTTTTGGGTTGAATATTTAATCGGAGATTATATGTGGAACATATATAATCAGGTAAACTTGTATAATAATTTATAATTAATTAAAAGGATGACCCGTATACATTCAAAAGACATTTCTTCACATGATAGGTACAACAAATATGAGATATAAAGATGATTCCAAGACAAGTACTTGGTAATTAGAAAACATTGATTAAATTCAGAGACCCTAGGGGTTTATCCGGGGCAAACCGTAGCTAGTTTAGAACAGAGGTGACTCTGCGATGGCGATTTTTACCCATTGAATACGGCTTCTCGTTCGTCGGATATTGATCGAAATCCTTCCTGTTCCTATGAACTCTCTCTATGTACTTATAGGCCCAACCATCGACATTCGCCTCGTCACAATCGCTCTCTCCGTGAATCACGTTCGAAGAAGAAGAAGAAGAAGAAGAGGAAGAAGGCGAATACCTCGGCGATCCATGGCTGATTTGGAAGCCGTCTCCGCCCGGCTTCGTCACGTAGATCGGTTTCGCTCGGCTCTGCGGCTCCTGCAGCCGTCTACTTCCCGGAATCAGAGGCGTCGCCGCTGAATTTCCGCCAGATCGCTGTCTCGTCGCCGAAGTTCCGGCGGTTGCTTCATTCGCCGTATTTGCGAAAGAAATCGAGCTCGAAAGCTTGATTAAATTCGCAAGCAACAACATGGACTTCTCGCAAAGCGATTCACTCGATCTCCCCTCTTTACCGATCATAACTCCGGTAATTGATAATTTTCTTTCTCTGTCTGTATTATTCCCTGCAAAAGAGGAAATGTCGATTGGAATGAAGAAACAGAGAGGAAATTGTGGAGTATTTATAATATTTGAAGCACTGTTCTTGAGGTTCCTTGCTTTAACAAAGAGAGAGATCAGTGAAATTAGTTTAACCTTGATTAGGTTAGTTAAGAAGGATTCGATGTTCAAAATTTCAAAGAATAATTTACAACTTTTTTGCAAGTGAATAGATCCCTTTATCACTTGTTGGGGACTACGTAATCTGTGTGTGGAGGGAGGAGGAAGAAGAAGAATCCATGGGAGACGCAGACTCAGATATTTTTGCAATTTATTTTAGTTTATTTTGGTAGGGGTTTAGTGCCACGTGGCATGTAGTTATTTCTTCTATCCGTCCTACCAAACTTTTTATGATAAACTATTCCATATATATATATTTATATTTATTAATTTCTTTGGATTTTTTATTTTTTGGGTAATAAATCTTTAGCTCCCAACGCTGTGCCGCAGGCCCTCTAAACGATCTCATATTCACCGGAGCCGTCCAACGCACTCTCAAATCTCTCCCTCAGAGCACCCATCCCATCCACGGTATCCCTCTCCGGGGAGGTGATTGATTTTGTTTATTTATTTATAAATATATATTTTTAGCATCTTTATATATTTATATATTAAATCTGGTTTTTGTAGTACAAGAATTGGATTAATTTTTAATTAAGTTTAATAACCCATAGTATACATGTCATGTTTGGAAGGATATCTTAGATATATAATCTTATTCAAAATTTAGAACTCCCATATGAAAACAGAGGAGAGGCAAATGGGAAAATGGTCAAAATTGTAAATTGGAGCAAATTGAGATGCTATGATGTTCCCCCGGTGGTTGGGAAGGGGAAGAATGACCGTTGTTATTTCAGGTAATTGGTCATCAAAGACAACCTGAATTGCCTCCTAAAATGTCGCAAATATAAATCCTAAGAAGGCTCAACCCCCTAACTTAGCTCATAACCTCTTGGTTTGTCGCCTCTCTCTGGGAACACAGACACTCCCCCAAAAGAAAAACAGAGAGAGAAATAGAGAGAGAGTAGAAAGAGGAGAGGGGAAGGAAAAAAAAGAAGAAAGAAAACAAGGAAAAAAAAGGTCATGATCTAGGTCTGGTCCATCCCACCAAGGTCATGATCTTTTCATCTTCATAGAACAATTACAGACAGGATTTTGAAATCCAAAACAGGGGGTTGGGTTAGATTTTTTAATTTTTTATTCTTTTGCAAGAGAAAGTTAGGGAAAAAAGAAAAAAGGAACAATGGCGACGAAACGTTCTTTCACCCGTTTTGTAGAACAGGAGATGGGAAAGTTCCCACATTTCGTAGTTTGTGCAGTCCTTGAATGGGTTCTCATAATTTTGCTTTTCATTGATGGGTTTGTTGCATTTTTGGCAAGCGAATTCGCCAAGTTCTTTGAATTGCGAGTTCCTTGTTTGTTCTGCACCAGAATCGACCATGTTTTTGTTAACAAAAATGCAGATTTCTACTACAACAATGCCATTTGTGAAAGCCACAAGAAGGATGTTTCATCTCTTGCATATTGCCACAACCACAAGAAACTCTCTGACATTCGGAAGATGTGTGAGGTCTGTCTTCTCTCATTCGCAACCGAGAAGGAATCCGATTGCAATACCTACAAGTCGCTCGTGGGAATATTGCACAAGGATCTTGAATGTTTTGTGGAGGACGATAATTGTCAAGTTGTGAGACAGCCGCCCGTGGGGAAGAAAGATGAAGGCCTGCAAATGGAGAAAGTGAGTGGTGTTGGTGGTGATGATTGTTGTTGTTCATGTTGTGGGGAATCATTGAAGGTTAAATCCTCCAATTCAAAAGGGAAAAATGGGAGTACCTTTTCACAAGCTCCTGCTCCTTCGCCACGAGCTGGGTTTGTGCCTGCTTTCAGAAACGAGGACAAAACTAGCTTGGAATTGCCGCATGTTAATTATACCGAACTCAAATTGTTGTCAGATAGTGAATCGGAGTTCGTCGAAGACGATGAAGGTTTACATGGAAGAAATCTTGACGCTCATCAATGTAAGTCCAAAATTTATTGAATTGACCCGTCCTTTCTTTATTTCTTTCTCTGCAGCATCCTTTTATTTGGTTTGTTTTCTTTGCGAATAATTTTTGTACCTGGATTTGAGGGAAGTGCAGTTAAGGAGGATGTGAAACCTGTTAAAGTGCCATTGTTACCTGAACCTGAGGATGTGCATGAAAGTTCGAGGACCCCCATCTTTGGTAGAGGAAACAAATTTTTTGGTATCCCACTTACGGATTCTGATAATACCAGTCCCAGATGGGCTATTAGGATCTCTAGAAAATCACCACTTGAAAGACCAGAGCTCCCAGCTGAGAATTATGAGGCTGATATGTTGGGGCCAGGAGACAATGATTCCATTTTGAATTGCTTGAAAAGACAAGTTCGGATAGATCGAAAATCGCTCATGGAGTTGTACATGGAACTGGATGAAGAAAGAAGCGCTTCAGCCGTGGCAGCAAACAATGCAATGGCCATGATTACTCGCTTACAAGCCGAAAAGGCGGCCGTTCAGATGGAAGCTTTGCAGTACCAAAGAATGATGGAAGAACAGGAAGAGTATGACCAGGAAGCCTTACAAGCTACAAACGATTTGCTTGCTAAGAGAGAGGAAGAAATCAGGGACTTGGAGGTTGAACTTGAAGCTTACAGAGAAAAATATGGATATCTTGAGGAAGCTTGTCTTCAGATGTCTGAAGGAGAGATATCTGATGAAGATTACCAAGAATTCAAGTCACAAGCCTATTTATCTTCTGATGAGAAATCTGAATGTAATACACCTTTTAGTCTCAATGGAAGAGGGAACAAGGAAAATTTTAAGAATTTTGACAGGACGATTATACCCTCCGCGTTGAAGATTGAAAGAGAAAATAGCAAAGAAGAAATTACAAACAATCATGGGGTAGCCTTGCCATTCTCCCAAGGGAAGGCTGAAGGAGAAGATAGCAAAGAACACAGTACAAACAATCATGGGGTAGCCTTGCCATTCTCCCAAGGGGAGGCTGAAGGAGAAGAAAGCAAAGAAGAAAGTACAAACAATCATGGGGTAACCCTGCCATTCTCCCAAGGGAAGGCTGAAGGAGAAGAGAGCAAAGAAGAAAGTACAAACAATCATGGGGTAGCCCTGACATTCTCCCAAGGGGAGGCTGAAGGAGAAGATAGCAAAGAAGAAAGTACAATCAATCATGGGGTGGCCCTGCCATTCTCCCAAGGGAAGGCTGAAGGAGAAGATAGCAAAGAAGAAAGTACAATCAATCATGGGGTGGCCCTGCCATTCTCCCAAGGGAAGGCTGAAGGAGAAGATAGCAAAGAAGAAAGTACAATCAATCATGGGGTGGCCCTGCCATTCTCCCAAGGGAAGGCTGAAGGAGAAGATAGCAAAGAAGAAAGTACAAACAATCATGGGGTAGCCCTGCCATTCTCCCAAGGGAAGGCTGAAGGAGAAGATAGCAAAGAAGAAAGTACAAACAATCATGGGGTAGCCCTGCCATTCTCCCAAGGGAAGGCTGAAGGAGAAGATAGCAAAGAAGACAAACAATCATGGGGTAGCCCTGCCATTCTCCCAAGGGAAGGCTGAAGGAGAAGATAGCAAAGAAGTAAGTACAAACAATCATGGGGTAGCCCTGCCATTCTCCCAAGGGAAGGCTGAAGGAGAAGATAGCAAAGAAGTAAGTACAAACAATCATGGGGTAGCCTTGGCATTCTCCCGAGGGAAGGCTGAAGGAGAAGACCAAAATGAACCAGTGACAAACTTTAAAGGAGAAAAAACATATCTTTTAGGCCGCTTGAAAAGGTCAAAGAAGAACATTAACTCCTTATCCTCCGAGGATCTAGTTTCGTCCCTGCAATCAAGATCTGCCAGTGTCAACCGAGTAGATGAAGTTACAGGTATTGTGTTATATCAATAATGGACATGAAACTTTATTAGAGAATATTGATTTCCATTTCGAATATGGCAGGAAAAGGAAGAGCTGCACTGACCCGAAAGCTCTCTCATCTTAATGAGTTCAAGATCATGAGAGTACTCAAAGCAGACAACGAATTCTCCAAGCATGAAGGAAAAGTATCTTTAGCTGAGACTTCTCACAATTTAGGGAAACCTCAGAACCTTGTCGACCAGAACAGTGATTCTTAACTTCCCATATTGGTAAATTACTCAGTAACTATAGTCAGGATTCAAGCATAGAGAGTTTGATTTTTAGGTGGGTGTTTTCTTTCCTTGCAGTTTGTTTTATTTCTAGGATGTACATAGTGTTGTATGACGTGCTGAATATAGATATAAATCTCCTTGAAGCTCAACAGCTGCTAACTTCTTCCATAGCAGTAAGACACCTCTTTCCCATTTCTTCTTCAGTTGCTTTCTCTATTGCTTTAGAAGCTTCACCCCAACAAACTCAGGGTACAATGACGTTTGATTTATGAAATTGCAGATGCAGAGCTAAAAACCATTTTCGGCTGCCAGCGATGGGTGTAGAAGGCTTTCCTTTTTCTTTTCTATTACTTTACTATTCAGCAGCAGAGTGGAAATGGTGTTCAAGAAAGTGCTTTTGGATTTACACATCAAAAGCCACAGAACAAGGGAAAGAAAAAAGGCCAATATTCCTTCTTTTTGAGGGCATAGTTGGACTAATGATAGAACCTCAAGGGAAAACTAGAAAGACAAGGCGTTCGGGCTTCCATCCCATTTACAACGAGAAAAATGTTAGCGTTGTATGATGCAAGAAGAGTTCTTTAAAGTCATAATCATCCCCTCCCCCTTAATGTCTTTTCGAGTTTACTAAAATGACAGCAATATGCAAGGAATTTTGATTGGTTTCATCCCATTTACTACTTCAAAACTTGGAGAGGGAAGACGCCAGTCCTTTTTAACGGAAGGAGATATCTTTTTCTTTGTCATTTATTGATCTAATCTAGCAAGAAGGAATTCAACTAGTCATTTTTTGTTCTTGGCCATCACATTTTGAACCAAAGAAGCCCAATATTGAGTAGTAGGGACACACAACCGACCCCCAAGGGTCCCAATGCAAACCACCTAAGGCATAACTTTTCCAACTTCCAGAAAGAGCCAAAATCAATAGTTCAATCTTCTAAATAAGGAGGCTATGAATAAGAACGCACATGTATTGGTCAAAGAAGAATGTGCATCCAATATCAAACATAAAGGCTGTGGGCCTGCCTACCATCATTTTCAGCTAGGTAATAACTCATACGACTGGCTCAAGAAAGAGACTTTATAACATAGAAAGTTAAGAGGAAAGAAAAAAGAGGGTGGGGTGGGGTAAAGAGCTTTCTCCCCTGATCCTGTCCAATTGTACAAAATCATGCGGTGAAGTGAATGAATGCTCTACAATAACCCCATCTCAGCTCAAGAAACAAAATGCATAATTTAGTCTTAATATTGTAGATTTTCCTTCGCTAATGATGAATCACAGACCATTTGAGTGAAAAAAAGTCTAGAAGAAGATCGCTGGCATGCATATGAACATGTTTTCATTCATTGAAATGATTGTCTGCAATATTTGTAGAGAATAGAGAGAAGAATATGTAAAGAATTGGGTCTTGGAGCTGTAACAAAAGGGTTATTCTATCATTCAACCTCAAGAACTGCAATAAAAATTGTTCAGTAAACAGCTTGTAAGAGATCTCCAGAGAACAGATTGGAAGTTATTCTATCACTCAACCTCAATGACTGAATATTTTGTATTGTTGGTGTGTTGCTCATCATAATCAATGTACAAGTATTCGGATGGACGGTTCTTTTACCTTTCTTAAACTCTACTATGCCAAATTTAATGGATTTCCCAGCTCTGTTTTGGACATCTACTTCATTTTCAATCAGCTCTTTGTACTGAAGTTTTGAACAATAGAATATACAGCTTTTGGTCCATTGAGAAATATAGGAAACCGCCGACTGAATGAGTCACAAAAGACCCAAAACTTTTTCCCACGATGCAGTGCCAGGCCGGACCATACACGCTATCAAATTCCTGGAAATTCACAAGCAAGCAAGCAAAATTATTAGCTAATTCATTCTAAAAGTTTCCAGATTGTACAGAACTGTTAAGCTAATTACCCTCTTGAGCGATAAAGCAAGAGTCTTGGAAGTGAATTTCTCCATGCTATCATGAGCTTTTCTTGCACAATCCACAGCATGGATCTGCATAGCCGGAGGCATGTCGACTGAGACTACTTTGACGCCATTTTTTGCAAGAATATCAGCCAATTCAACTTGGGGATCAGCAAGGGACCTTCTTCTCCCATCCTTTCGAAGTAAAGAAACTGTTGGTCTCAAAGTGTGAAGACCATGCCCCTTCTGAGGCTCTTTTAATTCCTTCTCCTTCTCCTTCACCACAAGATAGAGAGCTTTACTATCGTCATCAACCCCTTTATTAGCTTCCTTCTTCTCATCAAAAAACTTCTTAGTGCCCATCTCTTTACACAGCTTACTCAATTTCTCATCCCCACCAGAAGCAATTTTCTGGAGGTGGGGTTTTGATTTGACCATAGTAGGAACGGTCAAAGATGGAGGTGGGTTAGAATTCTTTGGTTTTTGAGACAAACAACCAGGTTGTCTGTGGAGTTCGGAAAATGGGATGTGGTTGGACAAAGGAGAGGGATTTGGAGGAGAAGAAGCAGCAGCTATGGCGGAATCAAGTTTTGCAGGAGTGGAGTGATTGTTAGCCATGGAAGCAGAGGGAGGAGCTCTGAAAGGAGGTTTAAGGGGAGGAGAATCAGGGTCAGGAGGTGCTAAAATGCGCAGCTGGTTGGTGGGTTTAGCCATGGGAGACCTGTAAGGGAAATGGAAAAGGGTGGGAGAAGGGGAAATTGTTGATGAAGACTATGGGGATTTGTGCATTTTGAGAGGTGGGATGCCATTTTTGGGTCAGAAATGAGGGATTCCTTTGATGGGGACTTGTGTATGTGCGAGTGAATAGTGAAATTTTTGTGCTGAGTTCTAACGTGCGCCTGACGTGGACGTCGAGGAGAGGTCTGTGACGTTCGTTAGATGACTGACGTGTTTGACCGATCATTCATTTCTGCTTTTTGTCTCTCAGACCAGACTTGTTTTTCTTCTTTTTCTTTTTTTTAATAAAGAAAATACTAACCGTTGTCTCGTATTAAAGTAAAATTTTGAAATTTTGAATTTTAAAAATAAAAGTCGTTGAAATTTGAAATAACCACGATGGTTAAGTAAAGACGAGTGTGTTTAATACAATAACACCATTTCATCTAATAAATCCAGTAATCCAACATAAATAAATATATAATAAGTTAATTATTTTGGTATATATAAATATATATATATATATAAAAGAGTACCAGAAATAAAATCTTCATTCCTAAACCCGTTTAATAGAGAAATCTCTCTCCACTCCTTCCATAATTCTAAAGATCCCTCGTCCTATTCAATATTCAAAATTTGATTAAATGGATTAAATGGACATCCCTATCTACAAAGGAAAAGATTTGAAAAAAAAAAACAGAAAGATTGGAAAAAATAGCTAGCAAAATTTTAAAGAGGATGTTTGATACTTTTTTTGTTCCAGGTATACCCTAGAGTATATCCCTTCTTATTAGCCCTTCAAAAAATTAAAAAAAGTTCTAAATCCTGATAAACTTGGGCCATGATGGGCCTGCTACTCGCCTATATCAGTCACTACTGGGCCTGGCTTTATTTTATCTTTTAATTTAGGTTCATTGCATACCCTAAATTATACAATAAATAAATAAATAAATAAAAACCATTTTTGTCTCAAGCGGTCGGATTTAATTATAGAGAAATTATTTTAAAATTCAAGAACTTCCACCATTAAATGGTAAGATATTCTCCACAGATATTCTCAGCTTTATAATCCCAGTAGTTTTCTAAAGAGGGTTTTATCATAAAGAGGGTTTTATCATGAATCCTACTAGTTTTACTTTGAATTTTCTACGGAGGGTTTTATCATGAATCCTAGTAGTTTTACTTTAGATTTTCTAAAGAGGGTTCGTGTCAATGGAGATGTGTTCCTTATTTATATAAACACGTGACTTTTTTCTTAATTAGCGAATGTAGGACTATACCTCTCAATAATACTCAACACAAGAATCTTTAGCATTTTTCATAACTTTTTTCCCAAAAAGAAATCAAAACAAAATGAAAAAGAGAATCAAAAGTATTAGAAAGGTTACCCAGAAATGAGTTCCTCATAAGTCCAAATCTCTGTATCAATCAATCGCTTCTCATATAACTGCCACAACACAGAAAAGGAAAAAACGATTAAAAGAAAGTCATCATCTGACCCAATATGTTTAGTTCAATGCCAAATTTCACACACAACCCAACCTGGTTTCCAAAAGTGGTCAACGATGGCTGCTTCCATTTAAGACCAAAAAAGTTTGATCTCTGTGGAATGCAGAAAGTTCAAGGCAATTTCTTATGCAATTCTTCCCTCCCCCCACACCCCATAGAAAAAGGGGGAAAAACACTGTAAAAAGGGCTCTTTTCTCTGCAATGTCAGAACCCTTTCCTGTCTTGTATCGTAATCCTAGAAAAGCAGCATTTTTTAACCCCACAACCACCGTCTTCGGCAACTTTTTTCGAAAGTCTTTGTGACCCAGCTCTATTCTCACCAGTGTTCATGCACCGCCAATTTCCTATCAACTCGACGTCATCGTGTACATTCATTACTACGTCACTTTCAACCACCAGCTCCAATAATCCAACCCAACTCCAACACTCATTTGCTGCTGACTCAGACTCCTCCCATTATAATATCTTTTCTGAATAATCTATAATTATCATTCTGTCTTTTGAATTAAACAATTCAATTTCCTTTCCTCATCGCTCAAACAAATGTGTCGTTTTCTAGCTTGTGACCTGAAATCAAATGTAAAAGCCATTTTGAGGAATCTAAATCCTACAGGACGCTTCCTTTCCTTAAAAGTGCGTCAAATTCCACTCCCTATTGCCTGCTTAGTCATTACTAATAAACAACTCAATAGATTAAGAAAGAAAAAAAATGATAATACCTGATGATCGTCAAACTGGGAGTGAGTCTTCGTTGATTGGGCCCCAGCCAGAAATTTCTTACTCAAGGATACTTGGAGCTTAAGGGTAGGCCACAGTCCACCACTTTGGTCTTCTTCATTTGCCTATAAATGCAAGTACCCAATTTCTGCACGCCACAATATATCCAAATGTTTCTCTCTTGTTCTTTCTGTCACTCTCTCTAAATGTTTCTCCTCTTCAGTAGTCTAGAGAACATAAGCTCTGCTCAGGGACAGCTTCACCACAACACAACTACAGGGATGTGGACGGGAGCAGCTTCGATGGCGAGTTTGTGGGTGGCTTCTGGTCCAACAATTGCGAGCTTCATGTTTGCTTGGGCTATGATTCAACAATACTGCCCACGAGCAGTTGTTCGATTCTTTCAAAAATACTGGAGTAGACTCATGAATTACTTCCATCCTTACATCCAGATATCAATCCATGAGTTTGCTGGCGAACGCCTCAAGAGTAGTGAAGCATTCACTGCTATTGAATCATATCTCAGCAAGAATTCGTCCAACACTGCCAAAAGACTCAAAGCGGAGATAGGTAAAGATAGCACCAACTTGGTGTTCAGCATGGATGATCATGAGAAGGTGACTGACGAATTTCAAGGAGTGAAAGTATGGTGGGTTTTAAACAGAACAGGTTCATCAACAAATTCTGACAACTCGTATAGTCCTGACAGGAGATACTATTCACTCACTTTCCATAAGAAGCACAGAAGTTTAGTTACAGAACCATACTTGAAGCATGTCTTGAGCGAAGGGAAAGAAATCCGAGTAAGAAACAGGCAAAGGAAGCTTTACACGAATGGTTCAGGTGGAAGATGGAGTTACCACCACACTATGTGGAGCCACATAGTATTTGAGCACCCTGCAACATTTGACACAATAGCGATGGAAGCAGAGAAAAAGCAGGAGATTATAGATGATTTGCTGACCTTCACTAGCAGTAAGGATTTTTATGCTCGAATTGGGAAGGCCTGGAAACGTGGGTATCTACTATTTGGTCCGCCAGGGACAGGGAAATCAACTATGATTGCTGCAATAGCCAATCTACTAAACTATGATATCTATGACTTGGAACTCACAGCAGTAAAGAACAACACAGAGCTTCGGAAGCTTTTGATTGAGACTACAAGTAAATCCATAATTGTGATTGAGGACATTGACTGCTCACTCGATCTTACGGGGCAGAGGAAGAAGAAAGAAAAGAAGTCTGAGGACGATGAGAAAGAAAAACCCCCCAAGGAATCTTCCAACAAAGAAGATGATACCAGCAGCAAAGTCACTCTCTCTGGATTGTTGAACTTCATCGATGGAATATGGTCAGCCTGTGGAGGGGAAAGACTAATCATTTTCACAACCAATTATGTGGAGAAGCTTGATCCAGCCCTCATCAGAACTGGTCGGATGGACAAACATATTGAGCTTTCTTATTGCAGTTTTGAGTCATTCCTAGTGCTGGCAAAAAATTACCTGAATCTTGAAACTCATCCGCTATTTGATCAAATCAAAGAACTGATGGAAGATGTCAAAATCACACCTGCTGACGTTGCAGAGAACCTCATGCCCAAGTCTCCAAAAGATGACATTGAGAAACGTCTTCTCAAATTGATTCAAACTCTACAAGGGGCAAAGGAAGCAGCGATCATTAAGGAATCTCAAGAAGTAAGTACAGCGGGATCAACCATAACTGATCTACAGTTACAAACTGAAGGCTCATCTTCAAGTTGAATTTAGCACTTTCTGCCTAGTGCTCCTATCTAACAATGTTATGGAATTCTCTTAGTTAATAAAATGCCCAAGTTATTAGCTTAATAATTCTTACCTCCACTTACAAGTGTGTTCAAATCTCAATCAATCACGATTACTTTTGAAAAAGAAAAGTACTTTTACGTTGAAAATCTTAATTCTCGAGGTTGGAACTTGAATCTCTGGTCCTTTGGATGAACTTTTGGTTGAGAATACATACTTGAGCCAGCTCAGACCGACAATTCTCACCCAATATTACTAAATAATTATTAGGTTCAAATCTTATTTTAGTTCCCAAGTTCATTGTATTTGGTCTATGCTCTCTTTCAATTCCTAAGCATAAAAAACTATTTTGGGTCTTTTATTAATCTTTCATAAACTATTAGGAATCTGATATGATATGTTTTTCATCCATTCACATGTTGAGTGTATGTCTGTTTAGATAAGTATTTAAAGGCACATGGACAAATCAGAATACCTGCATATCATCAAACTTGCAGTCTTTGTTGGGGCCCCTGCACAGTTCATTACTCCAAAGCATTGAAGGGAAGTGTTTAAGTGGTACTCAAGTTCATTGCTTCTGGTGTGTGATGCGGAGTATTCAGGCTTCTAAATGTCGGCTTCCATTGAACCTGATCGCCACTATCCTCGGACATCTGAATGTGGAACTCCAATTTTGAACACTTCGATTCTGATTCGAAGAGCTCTACCAGTAATGAAAATCGATTGCTATTTCTAGCAACTCTAGTTGTCCGACATTGTAGACCTAAAATCAAGACAAAATTAACAAGATAACGCTTTCACGTGGTTGGAAAGGCTCAAAATAACTCGAATGTGAGAACAATTAACTCTCGCGTGTTTAGAATTTGAAAAAACGCAGTAGTTCGCTAATTTTGAATTCACCTGATCACCGGCGTCCCGCGCGGTTTAACGCGATCAGGCAACCGACCGGAAGTTTACGATTCCTATTCCTCGTCGTCCCCATCGCCTCTTGCAATCCTCATAGGAAACCAATTGCCTTTTCGTTTTGCTGCTTACCTTCCCTTCAGAGCAATTTCACCCCTCCAGTACCTCTCATTTTGCCGCCAAATGAACCTCCAGCCACCGCCAAGTTCTAATTTCCGCGTTCATTCATTCAAAAACATGAAATTAGTCTTACATATATATATATAACTAGAACTTTGTCAATCAACCCATTTTTAAGTCTTGAAACTTCAAATCTCCAAGAGGTTTTGAATTTTTAGGAAATTAACTTATGAAATAGATATTGATTTGAATTTTTTTTTGTTGAGCCAAAACTTCTTGGATACGTTTAGCATTCGAATCAATTAGAAATTTGGTAAAATGATAGGATTTCGATACGATATACTTTTTTCTCTCCCATTCCAATCGATGTAGTGACTTTTTTGGGCTTTCCTTCTTAAACTTTCCCTCAAAATTTTTAAAAAATATTTTCTAGAGAAAGGTTTCCAGGTTCCGTTCTGCAATCTTTATGAGACCCCCCAATCTACTCCCTTCGAGACCCAGCGTTCTTGTTGGCACACCTTTCATGTCCACCTCTCTTTTTGGGCCTCAGCCTCCTCGCTAGCACATCGCCCAATGTTTGACTCTAATACCATTTGTAACGGCTCAAACCACCATTAATAGATAGTCCTCTTTGACCTCTTCCTTTCGGAACTTTCCCTCAAGATTTTTAAAATGTGTCTGCTAGGAAGAGGTTTCCGTACTCTTATAAAATATGTTTCGTCTTTCTTCTCAACCAATTTGTGAGATTGAGCGGTGATATGCTTACTAACAAGATTCATAACATTAACATTAGTATTCACTAATGATAATTCATATAATAAACTTAACATCTATTTAAAACCAACACTGCATAGTATACTTATTGGAGCAAATCTTGAAGCTGGTTCTCATAGGATATGAATGGCTGCTGTTCCCTCTGAGGGGCCTTCAGATTTGAGTTCATGTTACAGAACCTCATACAATAATCAACTTGGCAACAACTTTCTATCCCAAATATCAAACAGAAAACCCAAACAGTGCCCTTGCATATCTATCAAGCGTGTAATCAGTAACAAGTCATAAGCAGTAGCAGCAGGAGTAAGAGTACCAGGCTGCTCCATGAGTTTGTCGACCGATTTGCACGAGACGGAGGGGACGGTGTTGGACCAGAGCTTCCAACCGTTGATGTCGAGTTTTCCAATGAGCAAGTGTACTTACAACGACTAGGCGGGACGACCCGGTAAACACCACTGCTGGTTAGAATGTAGACGTCATTGTCATTGTCTTCACCAAATGAGAAGACATAACCCAAGGCTGGAAGAGAAGTTTCTGGGGTGGAACTGCAAGGTATAGGAGAATCAGGTGCACAACTGAAAGGAATCTCATTTGTTGTAAAGTTTCCACTGCTTTCTGGGTTTTCAATTCCTGCCCATAAACCAGAAGCATACAAATCTGCATACAAGTACCTGGCTCAGAAAGAACACAATGAGATTGGGTTATGTTTGAATCTTCATGAACATATGAACATACGTACATACCTTCCATACATACACGGATCGGTCTTCGATCGATAGAAATAACCGCCTGTTATCGATGCAGAACCTACATTCTTGCTTATTGTAGAATGGTTGTAACCCATCACTGGGAAGATTGGATTTATGGAATCTGCAGGTGTAGATCCTCCAGGGGATGAATTTGGAGGGAACAAATAAGAACCCTCGTAAACGCGCCATCCATAATTCCCGCCCTTTGTGATGATGTCGACCTCTTCGTATCGATCCTGTAAGAAAAGAAAAGGTATGATTTGAAGTAATGTTAAAAAAGAGCAGCATAATAAACTATGAACATTTCTACGAACAAGGTATTAAAGGTTATTCGGATGCCACTGCTCATCTGTTCTCAGACAAATAACCGGTTCTGTAACAGCCCAAGCCCACCACTAATAGATGTTCTTGGACAAATAACAGGTTCTGTAACAGCCCAAGTCCACCACTAGTACATATTGTTCGCTTTGGTCTATTACGTATCGCCGTCAGCTTCACTGTTTTTAAAACGCGTTTGCTAGGGAGAGATTTCCACACCCTTATAAGGAATGTTTCGTTCCTCTCTCCAACCGACGTGGGATCTCACAACCCACCTCCCTTAGGACCTATTATCCTCGCGGCACACCGTTTGGTGTCTGGCTCTGATACCATTTGTAACAGTTTAAGTCCACTGTTAGCATATATTGTTCGTTTTGACCCGTTACATATCGTCGTCAATCTCACGATTTTAAAACATGTCTACTAAGAAGAGGTTTCCACACCCTTATAAGGAATGCTTCGTTCCCCTCTCCCACCGATGTGGGGTCTCGCAATCCACCTCCCTGGGACTCAACATCCTCGCTGGCACACCACCCGATGTCTAGCTCTAATACAAATTGTAACAGTCCAAGCCCACCATTAGCAGATATTGTCCCCTTTGGCCTGTTACGTATCGTCGTCAACCTCACGGTTTTTAAAACGCATCACTAGGGAGAGATTTCCACACCCTTATAAGAAATGCTTCGTTCCCCTCTCCAATCGATGTGGAATCTCAAATTTCAGTTGAAACTTGAACTGTCACAACATACATCATAATTTGACGTTTTTTTTTTTAACTTTTCGCTCATTCAAAACAAACTACACCAAAGATTTACTATTGTCATCCTTTAACGAGTTATAACCTCTCGATATAAACGTGTAAAAACGACATTCTAACCTGTCCAACATCTCCACAGATGAAGTAGGAAGGTCTTTCTGCATCGAAACTGCAACGCCAAGGATTTCTGAATCCATAAGCCCATATCTCCGGCTGTGCTTCCTGATCTTCAACAAATGGGTTATCTTTAGGAATAGAATAGTTTCCCCATAGATCATGTTTATCAATATCTTCCGGACCTGCACATACCATTATGAGAACACAATGAAGGGAATTACAGACACTAGCATTCATTGGAGAATACTTCAAGACTTACTTGGAATGTTATTGATATCAAGCCTCATAATCTTCCCAAGCAATGACTTCTTGTTCTGGGAAAAATTGTAAGGATCGCCTTGACCGCCACCGTCCCCCATCATGAAGTAAAGATAGCCATCCGGCCCGAAGAGTATCTGTCCTCCATGATGAGCAGTAAATGGAAGACCAATTGTGATTATTCTTCTTACTTCTGATGGCTTTGCAGCTGTTGCCTGAATATAAGAATTGACATTCCTTTAGATCCCACAACAAAAGTATGTGAAGTGTTTAGAGATTTATACCAATGAAGGCTGCGATGCACTGCCGTTAACGGTGTACTCGGCGACAACGCTTTGATGCTGACACGGTTGGGATCCGCTATCAGATGGTAGTTTTGAAGGATCGCAATTAACATCAGAATTACAAGAACATCTTCCAGAGCACCCTGACCATTTAACCTTGTCACAATTGAAAGAAGCAAAGAATCTTCCATTTTGTGCAAAGTTTGGATGAAATGCAAGTCCCATCATGCCAAATTGAGTATCAAAGTTAACTTCATCAGTTAAATCTAGAAATGCATTAGATTCATCAATCCCCAACACTCCTCCTGATCCCTTCTCTGGAATAGTAGCTAACCAAATCTTCCCCGCTTGGTTAGCGAAGAACGCACGATTCGATCCATCGGGATGAGCCACCATATTCAAGTAAGATTCATTCCCAATCTTCTCAAGACACAAACCATGTGGAGGGCTAGGAAGTTCAGTGTTGTTAAGAGACACAGGTTCACCAACAAAACAGACTGATTCTTCCGTGGATGCTCCACCAAATGCGTCGCAGAAGACAGTTTTCGACTGCCATAAATCCAAAAGCTTGCTAGCACTGGAGTTATTAGCTACTCCAGCTCGACGCTGTAACGATGGGGCAAAGGGGGAGTCGACTATGGTTACGTTTTGACATGTATCCCATACTTTAGAGCAGAAATCAGTAGCTGCTTGGTTGGATTGTGGTGATCCTTCTGCAGTGGAGTTGCAGAGAAGAGGAACTGGTCTAAGTGTTGAATTGCCTTTGTATAGCTCACCGGAAAATGGATCACACCT